CAATACCGAGACTTCCTTGTCGTGCGGCGAGCGTGGCAGTGAAAGTAGTGAAAGTAATGGAACAATTCAAGGTCTGTAGAACACTTGTTTGTTCCCATGTAACACTGTAATAAACATCCAGGAAGAGGTAAGGTCAGTGTACAGAACTAATGTCCTCATACAAGATCGATTGTGCTGATCGCAGATAATGCAGATCTTATCCATTTAAATTGTTTAAATGTATTGTAAACAATTTTTCAATGTGTTTCTATTACTTTTGGAGATTATCGGAGATTCGTAATGATAGTAGTGTTGCCAGTTATGTTCCAGTCGAGTTTTAGCTGAAAGCTTTCTACTAAAACTCAAACTAGTTTCATGTACATTTTTGATTCATAACAAAAATTATATTTTTTTAAATTTTATAATATGAACGATTTTTAGAAAATCCTAACAAAGAAAAAAAGGAAATAGCTGCTGAACTCTTTGAATACCGGGGTATCACATTGTGCTAATTTAAAAGTGACCAACATGTTTGTTAGTATTTAGGCCTACGGTATATTTGAGTGCTGAATGTGTGTTAAAATAACCATCAATCGGTTTTATCCGGTATTGATATTTATGTCTTGAGGTTGTTTGCCAAAAAGATCAAACACATCTTCTAAATGTTGTCTATGATTGCATGGCCAAAATGTTGACTTCACCCTTTTTTGTGGAACATTTTTTTCATCAAGTTCAGGGCTACATACACAGATATCCCTGTGAAGCTAGACTCTGGGTTGAACCGAAAGCAGTTGGACCAGTGGAGAAGTAGTGAATGTGTGTCGGTCTCGCCGAGATGACCTTGTGAACCATCAGTTCATCAGCCAAGGACAGACTTTCTTTGCAGCTTTCATAGCAGTGTGAGATATCATCTACTTTGATTAAGATTTATTACCCAATGCAGTTAAAGATCATGGGCGAAAGAGACATTGGACCACGCCTTTGGCCTGATTTTTTGTGCATTCTTGTAGGGTAAACGATGAGTCAAAATTAAGTATTTTTTTTATACACGCCACCTTTCACCAATTCCTGTAATAAAAGTCCTCGGGCTTTGCCCTACAGGCCATCAAAAGCCCAATGTATTTCTTGAATAAATAAAAAAAAGAAAAAGCTGTCGATAAAAAGAAATTCAGTAGCTTTTTTGGGAGCAATAAATATTTATGTTAGTAATATTCAGGAAAAAATATTGATGTGTGTAATATTTTTAATATCTTTGACTATTGATACAACTTCAGTATCTAATAGTCAATGGTAATATGCAACTTATTTTGGAAGTGAAAAAATACATGTACAATGTACACATGGCGGTAAAGTAAAATTTCCTAATTTCAGATCAAATGAATACATGCAAGAAATGATTGCAGGGAACACTGACAGATCGAGACATTTAAAAACCTTTACTAGAAACTATAATAATGACTTGGCTAAGTTAAGCAAGATTAAACCAAACCTTGGCGGATCTTATGTTTTTATTGTTAACGTTTTTGTTACTCGCTCTACTTCAATTGAGAAAAAACGCAAATGGATTATTTACTTCTTGCTATCACAACGGAAAAGTTACTTTGCCAGTTCCACAAGGAAACTTATACAAAGTTTATTGACTAGAAGCTACCAAAAATCAAGACATTTCAAGTAAAAAATAGAAGTTTCAAGAACTCATTTGCTATGCTAAGTGTTAGTCGCAATATTAGACCAAAACAAGAGAAGGGCTTTATGTGTATGCATTCAACAGTCAAGTTCATTACAGAATTGGAGTAACACCCACGAAATTACAGTCAATATTTTGCTGATTCAGGAGAGGCAAATAATATACACTGTTCAATAAGAGAAAATTAAAATTGTTAGCCAAATCTCATTCAAGAGTTATCTAACCTATTTCGACAAATAAATCCATACTCTCAAGCTTTCAAAACGTTAGGACAGGTATTAAGAGAAGCTTTACTGAACAATGTGAGAATGCGCTGATGCTGGGCATACACTCTGACTAACATCACATTAAAAGGCGTTACAGTTGACCGACTTCCAAAGGTTTTGCTGCTATATTCAAAGCAGATGATGGCTCACCAGTTGGTAACCCAGAGGTTGTTGTATACCTCAAGAATTGTACACATTAAAATGTTGATATCACCCCACTTTTCAGGATTCCCCCATGGAGGTTAAGAGGGGTGGCTCAAAGCAAAGAAATAAAATGATCCAACTTGAATTTACTTCACACAGATTATCAGTGAGGCGACAGTTTCTTCAGTTCTCCATGCTTGAAAAACTGTGTTGCAACATATGTTAGACATGTTCACTCGAATTGAAGGAGAGCATTTATCATTCACTAGTGTACATGTTGCTCGAAATCGAGCAATTGCAAATAAGTACAGAAGTTATTTATAAACAAACAACTTGTTTAAAAACTAAAACAGTCATAATTTCCGATGATTTTAAAAGAGACAACTAAAAGATTATTAACTAATGGGAATACTCACAATTTACATAACAGTCCTATTCCAGTTTAAAGGGTTAATTTTTAACAATCAAACTGCCCATGGATGGGAAAAGGTAAGCTTACAATTTAAGTCAACGTAAAAAGTCTGTCAGCCTTTATAAAGTACCGTACCTAAGTTTTTTAGCCAATTTGTAGACAATAAGGTGTAGGCTACTTTAAACTCTACATGAAAGAGTTAGGCAAACACTGGCAGAACTCTGAAATGGTGTTATATCATAGGCTAACTCATAAAAATTCTATAATTAATAACTTATATCAATAAACACAAACCAACATCTTTTTTAAAATTTTTAATACAACATATAGATAACTTACACATTGACTGTTTACAATTAACATATCCTCTTTTTCTCACTATTAATTTTTGCAACGGGAAAAATCTGTTTCATAATCATTGAAATAGATTTATAATAAATAATCTATCATAAAGTTTAAGATTAAACAAACCTGCCACATAGTTTTTGTTTTATTTTTTTGGATCAGCTGTCTGAAATTGTGAAATAGGCATTTGACAGTTCTGGTTGTTTACATTTAAATGTCAAAGCAAATGTAAACATTGTGAATTTTCTCATGCTTCCATGGAGACCAATTATTAATATTGAATTTCTGAAAACAGCTGGAGTTTCAAAACAATGTTTGTTTCCCATGTTAATCTTATGGAGAAATACGAAACTTTAAAGGGCCCTAGGGCCTCACCCTCTAATTATTTCCCTAAAAAGAAAGTTTCCTGCACAACTTCACGTTACGCTCTTTCCAATGACACCAAAAACATGTCAATCGGTTCAGTAGTTTCGGAGGAGTAATTGTCACAAAAATCTTGCTTGCGTATTAAATAAGTACGAGAGGTCGTCCAGTGGTCGAAACTCGACCAAAAATATGTAATGTACTCACTTATCTATTTTCACCCCACACTGTAAATAAAACATGTGATTGGAGTTTCCTCCATTTGTTTTGATTTTCTGTTTATATTTCGTTGTTATTTCGTAACCAGCATAGCAACGCATAAGATCCATGTTAATTTTTTCAAATTTGTAAACTCATTTTTTGTGCTTATCTTTGAGCCTATTTAAATTTATAAAGGGATTCTGCACACCTACAGGAAAATAGCTTTCCAACGGTATGCGTAGATTTTCCCTACGATTCACACGAGCTGAGAAAAAAGGTTTTAAAGAAACATGCTTGCCTATTAATATATAGATAGATAGATTAGAAGTAATCATGTAAAACAAACTGAGAGCAGAAATTTATGTGAACGTTCATGATGTAATTAGAGATATTAAAAATTAATTTTTAAGATTTATAATAACTCTAAGAATAATACAGTTGATATAGTTACTCTGACAAAGTTTTCCTCGACGTTATGTTTCATACTATGCGGGTTCCCTAGTTTTTATTAATAGCACTGTAAAACATTTTTATTTTGTTATTAAATGTAAAACTCATCACTACATATTTGAACTATTTGACCTTAGCGTATGTTACAAACTCCTTAGATAGTTCGGCACCCATCATACAATAACTAAAGTACCGTGGTCGAAATAGTTAAGCCATTCTGTCGTTTACAAAAACTATTTCCTCTAAAAATTCGCAATACGACATAACTTGTCGGGAAATAACCGTAATTTTGTAGGACTTAATACAGAGTTAACTTTCCTACTACTGTATATTGAAGATTTAAATTAGTAAATAAACTGTTCTGTTCAATATCCTTTGATTCTTATTATGATGACCGGTTTCGTGACGACAGTCACATAATCAGGCTAAACCTCGTAGAAAAATTCGTACAAGAAATTAAGTTTTCCCATAGACTAACCACACAAGTAGACTTACCATCCCATTGTAAATTTTGAAGCTCGTTTTTCGTGTCTAGTTCTTGTCCGGTGACTCTGGTAACTAGTGTCGACGAAATTTTGTTTCTATTATTTTAGAGTTAATTTCATGATTTGTGTTTTACTGTTTGGTTATATAACTAAATGATGAGTTATTGTTTATGAATATATCGTTTTATTATGTAAAACGGGGGTTTAAATGCCTGAAATAACAATAAACAAATTTTAAACAAAACACGTCCTCTTTAGTACACCGGGACAGAACTAACGATAAAATTTGCTTCAGCTGTTCTATAAAGATGGGAAATCTACTAAGTTAGTATGTTTTATCTATGGTTTTACCGAACACAAAACACTTTGTACAAAGTATTTACAGACAGAAACCATCGCGACGCGTGCACGCTTACGTCGCGGCAGGCTCGACTTAAGCGTGTCTGATAAGTTTCTGCTTCAGCGTAGATTTTTACTTATTGCCTAAACTAGTTTTAGACTTTTCAAGAAATCATCTTCAGGCACGTAAAAATGAGGTAGAAGGGATGTTTAAGAAAAACATACTTAAATTTTGATAGTAAGTTATATTCTGGTTATTATGGTATAAGTTATATTATAACTTATATTCAGAAGTTATATTGGTTTAATATGTTATCTGTGTGTTTCAGATAGACCTCAAACCGTGGATCTTGCTGGGTGTCGTGTTACTGGGCTCGATAGACTCCGTGCGAGTGCAGAGAGGAACCTCAGAGCTCAATGATGCCTTCAAGGGGCGTGACGTAAACAAAACCATCGCCAAGGTGGAGGCGATCCTGGCCAGGAACCCAGCTCTACCTCGCCTCACCCGGGGAGAGATACTGGCACTGTTCGAGAACATCACTAAGGCAGACGCAGCGAAAAACAAGAAAAATGAACCACTCAAGTCGTCAGAGGCAGTCAAGAAACCGGAACAAGAATCCCTTATGGTTGTCCTTCCTTTCAATGCAAACTCCGAACAAAACACAGGGTTGGAAGATCTTTACACGAGACAACCGGTGACGAGGATAGTCGGATACAGTACGACAACACCAGCGTCTACTACCACAAGTAGTACTGAGAGGCCGAAGAGGAAGAAGAAGAGGAAGAACGGCAACAGAAGAAAACCTATGAATCAGGAGATAAGGCCTGTGTATATCGATGAAAGTAGAACGACCACAAGTTCACCTATCGTCGCGGATCAGTGGAATCCTATTGATTCGGAACGTCCGTCAGTGAAAAAGCAAAATGTCAATAGTGGCATTGAAGTTCCTAACTATATGCAGGACACATTGGATACGTTCCAAAACTCTAATAACCAAGTGTTTGTCACGTTACCAACACAGAAGCCACGGTCTACAACCACTACAACAAGTCCTCCTCCGAGTTCATCTCCGCCTCCAAATATATCTATAGCTGCTCAATCCCTCACTCCTGAATTAAAAAACTTGCTGGTCTCATTAGGATTGTTGAATCCTGATGGATCTCAGGTTTCCACATCATTTTCAACAACGACAACTACAACGCATTCTCCTCAACCTTTAATACAATACATTTCAATCAATCCTACTGTTGATCCTGCATCCTATGTGGTATTTAAACCTCTTCCAATATCCAATTTCAGAGGAAACAACCGAGGGAACAACGAAGAGAAGCTGTCTGAAGACATGAGACATTTCCTGGCTTCATTTGGTCTGACGGGCGACACAGAAGGATTCCGTTCTCAAAAGTCATTTGATGAAGATAACCGTCTGCGCAAATCAATAACATCATCTACTTCAACTTCTACTTCTACAACAACATCGACTTCAACTACTACGACTACAGATAAACCGGAGTATTCTGAAAATAACGCACCTGATGATTCATCGTTACCTGATATCAACACAGCGATTTTAACAGACGACATGAAAGATGTGCTTGAAGATATCGGTCTTATGAAAAAGTCCGGAAGGAAGTATAAAGGTGTAATTTTCAACCCAGCAATGAGAACTGCTGTCCTAAATCAATCCGAGGAAAAAGAAAAAGTCGACAAGCTTTTGCTAACTATAAAGGAACTCTCGGCTGCTGAGAAAAATAAAAGCCTAAGTGCCGAACAAGTGGCGGAACAGATACAAAACCTTACATCGAGTCTCGTCGAGGAAACTAAGGAAAACTCATCTGAGCAAGAATTAGTTGAGGGAGAAGAGTCAGAAATGAGCTACGAAGGATATGAGCCCGCTGAAGAAGAACTTCTTAAGCTACAAAATGGATTTGTCGATGACGATTTGAAAGACGATTTTCCTATAGAAACTTCTGAAACGGAAACCAACGGAAATAATAGTAACAACGAACTACCCCTTGATACTGCTTTTAATGCAAACAATAAAAGGCCATCTCTAAAGGACTCTCCGAATCCTCCTGATCCTTTGTCTGTCGAGGAGCTTCACCATTTTGTTGAAAGTAATAAAAATGAAGTAAAACGTCAACAGCCCAATAACGTGACGGATATTTTGGATCAACCTGCGACAAGCACAAATGAACCAAGTTCAAGTACAGAATCGTCTTCAGATGATTCAAAGTCAAATTCTTCATTCTTTGATACGCCCTCTTCAGACTCGTCTTCTTCTGATTCTTCCAGTTCTTCAGACTCATCCTCATCAGCTGCTGGTGATTCTTCAAGTGATTCCGAAGATTCCACTCCCTCTCAAGATGATCTTATTGACTCATTTGGTGGAGATAATCCTCCGGAGAACAGACCAAACGGTCTCTACTTCTTGGTGGACTGGAACACTTTCTTAAGGGTTGGCACGGACAATAAAACTGTTGACTTGAACTTCTCGCCAAAGGTTGGAGATCCCAAGAACTTCCTCCCTGTTACTGTACCTTGAAAATACCTGTAAAACGTAATTTATTAAGATTATTTATTCATAAGATAAAATATTGTACATACAACTATGTATAAATAGTAGTGATAGACACCTTCTTTGCTCACTTAGTTAGTTTTGTATAGTCTGTGTGCAATGTTTGCCGCTCAAAATGTACATTTTAGTATTATTATGCCACGTATTTAAATTTTTATTTCTAAAGACATTTAAAGTTGTTAGTCACAGAAACCGAAATGGTGAATAACTTTACTTACTTTCTTTTTAAGATCAACTATTCTCATTACTGTACAAAGTTCACTGTGCTTGCAATTAAGAAAAAACTTATAAGGAAAACATTTTCAGCAAAGTATTTTTTACTGACAAAATGCAGTAAATTACGATGACACCTGTTTTATTATTGAATATTTAACTAACTATTATTTACCTACAATGACACTCGAATACAGTTTTTAGATGGTTTTTAAAATCGCATGATATATAAGAACATGACAAAGATAGTTAGAGCGTATCCGTAAGTATAATGTAAAAATTGTAAATAAACATTTTATTACTATTTGAAACGTTATCATCAATTACCCCTAAATCATCAAAATCTGCTACATCAATACTTGCAATAATGCATATTTAAAAAGCCGTTTGAAATAAAAGTTCAACAAACAAAAGGTACAAACAATACAAACAGTACAAACAATAATAATAAAAGTTGTAGCCTAAGAAATCTTTAACAAAATTTTAAATAAACTGTATTATGACCAAATTCATTCGCCACGAGGATGCAGAAGTATTTTAATATTCACAAAACTAGTGTTGTAAATTGTAATTGCTGTTACAGTAGCCTATTCAAATAGTTATACCCTACAGCTAGAGGACTCTGGTGGCAGGAGGTGGAACCGCCCCACAATTACCCTCCAGGGGTGTCAGTTTGGAGGGAACACTCGCCCCCCCCCTCCACCATCCTGCTGGTTATAATTAGGCACAAAGCTAGGGGCAGTTTTAATGACATCTTGCCGTGCTTTTCTTTCTCATTTTTAATTAATTGAAAACTCGGAAAATATGAAGTTAAGAAAAGAACGTGGAAAGATCCTCGCCGAGTAGAGCATGAATAGGGAAGTGCGCTGACTGGTAATGTTCTATGATTAAAGGGTGGATCTACTCTAGTTGAGATTAGAAGCCTTAAATCTTATATAATTATTAAATTTGTTTTATCCTGAAAGTCATTAAATAATTATACGTTGTGTTGTTTTTCAACAACAATAACAAATTATCATAGTAAGTCCTGATATATTTTAAACGTATATTTGAAAAAAAAACGCACTTTTTGAATTTAAACGCAATTCTTACATGACCACTACTTTAATTTCTAATCTTCAAATCAAATCTAATAGGCATATTGCCTCGTATGTTCACTTATACCTAGATACACTTTACACATGCCGCATGTAATGTACTTGAGCAGATTAGAAAAATGCTGTATGTACTATTTATACCTACACTACAGCAATTCCGAAAGACATGATTCATGATGGTTTGCACAATTTCCTTCTACATCTCTGGTTTGATTGTAATGTTCATACCTATGTAGCTTTTCGATCCTTGTAGCCAATAAGGTTGTAACTATTCAAAAAACTTTACTGTCTCATAAAACTCTTACAAATGTGTATAATGTGCCATGTGATAAATTGTTGATATTAAATACCACCACTTTTTGTGTTAAAGCAAAATTTGATAGAGTTGAAGAATTATACTTAGGTGGTCGAATTATTTTTAATGTACAGTAGATTGTAGGCCTAAACTGTTATAGGGTTTCTGGTCCTTTTATCGGTTGTTAGGTTGTGAATGAACCGTCTCTAAACACAGCCAGAGTGCTAATAAAATTTATTTTAGCAACATAATAATATGACATATTTTACGACAAAGCTCTGATCCAGTGGCAGTTATTGACCCCCAACTAACTATCAGTTATTGGAGGAAAATTGGGGGGTGAAAACCATGCATAAAACATGGGGATATATTATGAATAGACATTAGACAATTTTCTTAAACTCATCAGTGGAGGGAATTAAAATTATTATTGAATTTCAAATTATTTTTATCTGTGTACAGAAATAAAAACTTAAGTAAAAACAGTCAACTTACCAGAGATTTTGAATGAGACCTCAAAAATCACCTAAGATACTCATATAAGAAAATACTCGGTCTTAATTACAAGAAATATAATTAATTTGTCATTAAAAATTTTTTCGATAACCTTTGTTGATTGATTAGTATTAGTCATCATGATTAGTATTAGTGTGGATTGGTATTAGTCACCTAACAAACAAATTGGCAATTGAAATAAACTTCTAAGTTGAGGGGCTTTTTTAACATTTTTTAGCTAATTAATTAAAATTATGTAATTATAATATGAATTGCTAATATAAATTACTAAACCATAGTGTAAACATAAGTTAAACTAAATTTACTGTATATGGGTGTGAATAAGTATATACATGTGGTGTGTAATATCCCAAAGGTAATCTGAAGTGTAAAAAAACCAAATGAAATGTTATTGGTGTGTTAAACGTGAAATGTTTTAAGGGCAGCACTCTTTTTATCCAGGGTCATTTTTATTTAAGTTTGCTTAAATGAATTTTATAATAAACTTACCCAACGACCCTTAAGCATTGAATTGATTTTATTTATATTGTTAATACATTAAAAAATAAAGGAATTTTTTACCAAGTTCAAGAGTGCAAGATACTTTAAAACCTTTGGAATATAAAAAAATAATTATTGTTACAATAATAATATAAGTTCAGTATTTAAGTATGTTAGTTTTTTTAGTATTTCTTATTTAGAGGTTTTCTACCCAAATAGTTTATGTTTTCTTGAGTATACGATCAAAATTTAATTTAGGCGGAAATTTTCAACAGTTCATTCGTTAGGTTATTATTTTAACCAATCAGTTACCGAGATGTTCAGATTGCTACGTAGAGATTTTCTCCTAATTTACTCTCTACTAAATATGGAATATAAAATAAGGGTATGGTACACAAATAAATAGGTAAGGTTTGCAAGTTTTGATTACTAATCCATGGAAGAACTTTGAATTGATAAAGAAACAACACATTGTGAGTTCCTTTGACTACCTAAACCAAATAAATGCTGGTTGAGCACTTATTCAACATAATGTATTTGTTGTAACTCTAATTTAACTATAAATTTAGTCTTAAACTAAACAACTGAATTTTAAAACCTAATCAAACAACCATACGTTTGTTCACAATGCAGATTGTCTGTGACCAATAAAAAAAGAAGAATTACAGCACTGTCCTCTTAAAGAAACACCAACTCAAATAAGTCTTACCTACCATTTCAATAAATTTACCAAAACTAAAAGGTGTTGTTGACTAAAGTCTTAAATATGAGAGGTCACATGAGAAGTTGATAGTTGATAGGTCAGTTACCTAGTCTCTGACAGGGTTGCAGTGGAGACAAGATGGCGAGGACCCCCGGGGAGGTAACACGATCGTTGTTGTGGCAGGAGCCCGGGGGGAGGCTTTTGTGCTGAGGGAACTGTCTAAACTCATTTGTCAACGACATGTCACAAGGATCCAGCAGTTACCTGTGTTACTGTAGTCACTGCAGTGTGGGAATGTTGTGTGACTGAGAGGTAAAGTTGTTGAACTGCAGGTAGATAGGTCCATACTGTATTTATGCGACTGTAGAAATTAAAGCTCATTTGTTTTAAGTTACATTATATTTTAGTTTTGAAACAAAAATCAAAAGTCATTACGTTGTGGGACTGCAGGTAGTTAGACTTGTAGGACTTCAGATAGTTAGAGTTAGGGCTGCAGATGGTTAGATTTGGGGGACAGCTGATATGTATAGAGCGGTGGGACTGCAGATACAGCTAATGGGACTGAAGATAATTACGGCTGCATACAGACTGATCCGCGGTCAGAGGGTAGTTTTGGATCATTCAAACTGACCCGGGGGTCTGGCAGGTAGATAATAGGGTTGCTTGAAACCTGTGATCTGACCCGCGAGTCGTTGAGGGAGGACGGGAAATTCTCCAGGCTTCTACGGGATAAATAAGTTGAGCAACAGTCTAAGTATTTCCTTATACAGCCGCTAATATGATTTAGCCTAATAGCTTATTTTAGCAATTTAGTTGATTTGATTGCTATCGTATTTTAAAATCGTTCACTTAAAATCAGTATAAACTTAAATTTTTATTTAGTACAAGCCAACAGAAATACATCAATTATTATCATTTACATTGCTATAGGGTTCTATTGAGTGATTATAACTCACCCTATGTTTTAAACGAATTTTTAATGTTTTATTTTTAATTTGTACACATAACTATAAAGCAGTAATTGCTACTATGGACCCCTAGTTGTCAATATTTTATTGACAATGTGTTTAAAAGACTAGCGGCGAACTACGCGATACCCATATCAAAATACAATGGCAATTATAAAATTATTAGACGGAGGAATATTTTATACTATTCAAGACCTACATACCTACCCTGTTTGGCGTGTATATTAATAAAAAAAAACACTAATGAATGATGTAAAATGCTGTAAGATCATCTATAATTTTTGTACAATCTAGAAAAATCTGGAATATTCTTTCTATAGCATTCTAGATTAACTAATTTTACGCACTTCCATAGTTAACACGTATGCGACGCTGCAGTCATTGCCACAGACCGAGGTATACATTTGAATCTTACACATAGACCGGCTGTCACTTGGTTAACAGTACACACAGACCACAAGCGAAAACCTGTAACACAGTTATCATTTACATTGTAATACGCTGCAATCGTGTTTGTAAATAATTTATTCTAGTTTCTTTGTATTAGCGAATTTCCCTATAGGGAAGTAGCTATTACCGTAGGTCTCATGGTAAGACTTAGGCCCGGGACCGATTTACTTTTTCATTTTAATGTCCCCAGAGGCCAAAAACACCATTCGTTCAAATTTTTATATATGTATATATATATATATATATATATATTTATAGATATATATATATATATAGATTTATATATATGTGTGTCCGTGAACACGATAACTTGAGTAATTTTTATCCGATTTTGATGAAATTTGGTTTGAAGGTGTAAGGCGGGATAGACTTGAATGAGTTCGCGATCCAGCATGATCGGACCATGGGAACAGGGTTTTATGGGGGGTTTTATGGGGTAAAAATTGGTTTTTCTCACTTTTGACCCTCAAAACACAAAATTTCCCGATTTTTCTCTAAACCTTCTTAAAGAGCTTAAAAAAACAAACAATTCAGTATATCAAAGTGTTTTTGTACGGTTATTGGTTACGGAGAAAACTAAAAAAATTGTAAATTTAAAATTCCCATGTTATTCTTATGGAGAATATTTTAAAATGTTGTAGTTTGCTTGTTTATGGATATCTTTTGATCAAACTTGGCAAATGTATTCATTTTCTACTAAGCAATAATTATTTTACTTAAAATACACACTTTATTAGTTTCCTTGTAGCAGCAAACCTAGGTACTCGTTAAACCTAATGTTATTTAAATAGATCGATTGAAA